TCTCCTTGCCCGTCCTCCCCACGAAAGGTGGAGTGTCCGCAGCCCCACAGGGTGCTGAGGAGTCGGAAATAATGCAAGAGTCAAAATCGTGTTCTCTGGTGCTCCAGCCCCCGCAGCCCGCTCCAGCCACCACCCGCAGCGAGGGGGGTCTCCTCCCTCCGAGCACGGTGGCCCCGCTGGAGTGGGCTCAGGCTGGGCAGAGGCCAGCAGGAATGAGCGACGCTCCGACCGGGGAGAAGGCTCACAGAAGTCCCCGAAGGCTTGGCTCGCTCAGCAGTGTGTGAGCAGAGCTTTCCAGGATGTGAACAGTGAACACTGGTGGGTGGTCTATTGGCCACACTGGTGGTCTTCTGACCTCCTGAGCTCCCCTTCTCCTGTTACACACCAGCGGGGCAAGAAACCAGGCCAGCTCAGCCTTCCAAGGACACGTGCAGCAGCAGCCAAGGCCCACTGCCGTGAGCAGAGCCTGTAGGAGGCAGACCCCGCGCAGGGGCCTCATCCAGTGTCTGTCCTCCTGAAGGGCGAGGAACCATTTCCTGCCCAGGGCCATTTGGATATTTGGAACCTCATTCAAGGACCATCCAAAATGACCCACTTAAGAATGAGCCTGCTCTGTTTGGTCAGACTCATTTCGTGAGGTGGGTGGTGGTAGCTGGTAATGATTTCCTGGGCCTTCTTTGGCCCGCGGGCCGGGTGTTCCCCACCCCTTGGGGCTGTTTTACTTGGAGTATTGTCCTCAGGGCTTCTACGAGTTGTTGCCTGTCACCAGATTTCTATACTTGTAAAGGCTGGATGACATTCCATTGTGTGTGTTACCACATTTTGTGGGCGGTTCATCCATCAGTGGTCGCTTGGACCGTCTCCATGTCTTGGGTGTTATGATATGAGGAATCTAAAATACTCAAACACATAGAAGCAAGAATAGGACGGCAGCTGTCGGGGCTGGGCTGAGGGGGTGGGGGTGGGGATGGAATGGGGAGGTGTTAGTACAGGTACTAAGTTTGGTTGTTCAGGGGGAGTAAGTTCTAGAGATCAGTATACCATGCGCTTCTCAGTAACAGTGCTGTGTTGTATCCCTGTTAGGACAGTAGAGTTCATGTTCTTACTGCAATTAAAACACAACAACCCAAAGATCCTTATTTTGCAGAAGAAAGGTTTCTAATCAGGGCAGCGACGTGATCTGAGGTTTGCTTTGGAAGTACCCCTTTGGCGGTGTTATGGAAAATATGTGGAGGAAGAGAAACTAGCTGAGAAGTCAGGAGGTCCCTGTCTGATGCTGGCGAAAGACAGTGAAGGTATAAGGGGGAAGAAGTCTCCCTAGACCCGCTCGGATCCCTGACTAGGTCTGGAAATTAAACAGACAGAGGCAGATGAACAGAAGAAAAGCATACACATTTCTTTAACCCAGTTCTGCGTGACAGAGGAGCCTCCGTGAAGACCGGAGAAACGGACCTGGGTGCCGATGCTGGGGGGGAAGAGCGGACAGCCGTGGAGGAATGGGGCAGGGCAGAGGGGGCGAGGCCAGAGTAAGGAGCTGGGGATGTACCGAGGCCTGCTGGTTAGGACCCTTCTCGTGTCCCTGTCTTCAGGGAGAAGGATGCTCTTTTCCTCCGGGTGGAGGGAGGTACCTCTCCCCTGAGAGTTTATGATCTGTTTCAGGGGAGAAGGGAGGCGTAGGGGTCAGGGTGACCTTTCTGCTTCTGCTGTTTTCTCAAACCCCTTCGGCTTACAATATTCATATACTAAGGTGCTGTTATGTTGGGATTAGTGTGACCTGAATCCCATCAAAGGCCTGTCCTTAGGAGAGTTGGAGACAACTGGGCAAACTGTTTTGACATTTCAGAGGTAGAACTGAATTCTACTGTATGTGATTCGGCGTCATGGGTCAGGGACGGAGAAAGTACTGCCTCTCCCTGGACCTGGTGAGTGGGAAGTACATCTGGGTTACCCAGACGCTCAGTTCACACCGGGCGCTATGGGCCTGGGCCATCGAGAAGGAAGTCTGCGTGGAGCTAAGAGTTTTGCAAATAAAGGATGTTAGAGACGCGCACTGAATCCACACGGGAGTGTAACCCTGAAGGGGAAAGAGCCAGAGCAGAGTCCCCGGGGACATCAGCAAGTACTGGGAGCCGGAACGGTGGTGCGGATAACAGAGTGTTAGACCCTGCAATGCAAGCCCAGGTAAGGGAACGTGGGGAGGAGGGCGTCTGTCGGATATTTTGGCGACATCAAATACAACACTAGCTCTGAGAAGAGGTTGTCAGGTTAACCTAAGAGGTCGTTTAACCTAAGAGAAGCGCCTTCTGTCGTGTGGGTGAGATACCAGAGCATGCTGTATGCACCAGAGAGGGCACGGGGGACAGAGAACCCCTCGTCTGACCAGGGAGGTAGATTTCTGGACAGAGAGTGGGGACTCCCTTTTAAAGGGCATTCCAGAGCTAAGGTGAAGTGAGGACATTTTCCAAATATAGTAAATCTTGCAACATGTTCTGCTGTTATTACTACCTAGCATAATTTCTGCTATAGAGTAAGAGGCTCAATTTTTTGCCCATAGAGTGGAAATTGTTAAAGTCTAACTATACGCAAGGTGCCCCTCCCCCTTCTTTTTGATCATAAAATTCAGTCCCGCGATGTGGGAATTCAGGAGCGGTGTGTCCCGCACCTGCTCACAAGGCATCCACACTGGCTGTACCTGTTGCGGACTTCGCACCTGGCCGTCGCTTAAGGAAGCGTTTTCGTAAAGTTTTAGATATAATTAACAGTGATTTCATGTTAATTTATTAAAGCTCTACTTTTCTTTCCTTTCTACATTTTGGTTCTGCCTTCTACATTTTTTTTAAATCCTCACCAGAAGATATTTTTCCATTGATTTCAGATAGAAAAGGAGGGAGGGAGGGAGAGAGAAACATCGATGTGAGAGAGACACACCGATTGGCTGCCTCCCACACGACCCCGACTGGCTCTGGGGACCGAACTGCAACCAGGGTACGTGCCCTTGGCCGGAATCAAACCCCTGACTCTTTGGTCCACAGGCCGACACTCCAACCGCTGAGCTAACCGGCCAGGGCTGCCTTCTGCTCTCAGTGACTCCACACTGCTGAGCACAGACTGAGACCTGTCTGCACAATGGGGTCCCCTCCCACAGACACCCTTTCTGCCCTCGAGTGACCGTCTCTGCTTTGATGTTCATATGGTCACTTCCTTGCTGTTCAAAACGGTTTCATTACCTGGGTGTGCATTCCTACATGAGTTTAGTTTTACTTTTTTACAAAAGGCATCTTTTTTTTTTAAAGTGTCTTATGTTTAGGCTGATCTCTCTTTCTTTTCTAACTTATCTGTAGAAAAAATCCTGGTCACTTACCGTACAGTTTTCTGACAATGTGGATTGTGTTGACTGCTTTCACGGGGTGTGGTTTAATGTGTTTTCCCATCCTCTGTTTCCTATAACGGGTGATTGGATCTAGAGACCCCAGCCCCTTTATTACCAGTTACCTCCCAGGGGTGGGGTGTTCCTTCTCAAGAGACGCACGGCTGTGTCAGACGTGACGGAAGCAGAAGACGCAACATGCCTGGGTCTGTGGCTCATCAGTGCTGGTGACACCGTCTGTTGCATTGTATTTCTTCATGTATTTGCCGGAATTCATAAAAAGAAAGTTTTCCTTCTCTATTATTTGGTTACCCTTGGTCCATTTAGGAAGAGCAGTATACCTGCTTCATGTTTATTTTTCATTTATCACTATTCAAATAAAATTGCTTCTATGTATCCTTCATAAGTGGGATATCTCTATCTATCTTTTATGTATGTATGTATGTATGTATCTATCTATCTATAGATATATCACCTCAAGGCTTTGTACTGATATTTCAAGTTCAGTGAAAATTCAGAACAACAGGGTGTGTATTTAAATTAGTCTATTTTAGATTTGTATCTTTACCCAATTCCTCCACGTTCGTAAGCAGTAGGAAGTCTGGGAAGGGTAGTCAGCATAGCACACAGACCCACATGACACACAAATCATTTTTGTAGTAGCCACGGATGACGTGGTCACTGAGAGAGGAGAGGGTTGTAGTGACCACGGATGACATGGTCGCTGAGAGAGGAGAGGGTTGTGGTGACCAAGGATGATGCGGTAGCTGAGAGAGGAGAGGTTGTAGTGACCACGGATGACGTGGTCACTGAGAGAGGAGAGGGTTGTAGTGACCACGGACAACGCGGTCGCCGAGAGGGGAGAGGGTTGTAGTGACCACAGATGACGTGGTCACCGAGAGGGGAGAGGGTTGTAGTGACCACAGATGACGTGGTTGCCGAGAGGGGAGAGGGTTGTAGTGACCACAGATGACGTGGTTGCCGAGAGGGGAGAGGATTGTAGTGACCACGGATGACGTGGTCGCTGAGAGAGGAGACGGTTGTAGTGACCGCGGATGACATGGTCGCTGAGAGAGGAGACGGTTGTAGTGACCACGGATGACGTGATCGCTGAGAGAGGAGACGGTTGCGGTGACCACGGATGACGTGTCGCTGAGAGGGGAGAGGGTTGTAGTGACCACGGATGACGTGTCGCTGAGAGGGGAGAGGGTTGTAGTGACCACGGATGACGTGGTCGCTGAGAGAGGAGACGGTTGTTTCCCTCTCTCCAGTGGAGAGTTGTCCTCATGGCTGCCCTGTTTCTGACCCAGCACAGGACCCGCTCAATGGTGTTCTCCCTCCTGCACCCAGGCCAGCACAGATCTTAAGGAGATCAAGATCACCACCTAGAGCTTTGGCAATTCTGTTAATGTCTCTAACAAAACTTTTCTTCAGAGGTGCCTGAGAAAGAGAATAATAAAGAAAATCAAATCTGTGTTGACAGAGAAACAATTCTCGAAAGGGATGTTACGTGACAACACTGTCTCAGGCAGCACTGACGCTGATGATTTGAACTGCTCTGTGTACCACTGCATTTCCCCTACGTGTGCCTTTTACAACATCGTTTTGTTTTGTTTTCTCTTGTGGCCAACAGAACATTCCAAAGCCGTGGTAGAAAAGAATATCACTTTGCAAAAACCTTCTAATGTAGAACTGACATGCCAGTTCACAGCGTCGGGGGATCCGAGCTCAGTGAACGTCACTTGGAGAAAAGATGATGAACAACTTGAGAACGATTTTGTCACCAGTGCCACAGGAAACACCCTGTATACCCAATACCTGTGAGTACACCCGATATTAACCTGTACGTTACGGGACATTGCTAGGTAAATCCCAAATGGGTTTGTTGCCTGGCATTTTGTGTTGTCCTTAGAATGTTATTACAGAATTTTTTTTTAATTTTACAATTTTGATAAATGGTTAAGTCTTTTCATTATCATGAGGGAGTGTTTTGAGAACTAAGCCTGTGTTAATAACGTGACTTATCTTTAGGTTCACCATCATTAATAGCAAACAAATGGGAAGTTATTCTTGTTTCTTTCAAGAGGAAAAGGAACACAGGGGCACATTTAATTTCAAAGGTCAGTACGAATCATCTGTAGAGTTATAACTTCAGCGTTCTAGGCTTAGAATTCTGCATCCCTCGGTTTTTAAATTATTGCTGCGATATAAACATGATGCTGCGGACGGAAATCCGGTGCTTTCCACTGGGTCATCAGTGGCAGTGAAGTCGTGCTTCCTGGTGTTACCCAGTGTAGGACTTGCGTTTCCCAACCCACTCCCACTCCCACTCGCGTCCCTGCCCTGGTTTAAAGCACTGGTTTTACTTGGAAATACCAGCTAATCTGTAAGTTATAGCAGTCTCTGGAATCTATCAATTTATCTATGGTCTGTCTGTCTGTCTGTCTATTCATCCCTCCATCCATCATCTATCCATCCATCCACCATCTGTCTGTCTGTCTATCTATCTATCTATCATCTATGCATCCCTCCATCCATCATCTATCTATCCATCCACCGTCTGTCTGTCTATCTATCTATCTATCTATCTATCTATCTATCTATCTATCTATCATCTATTCATCCCTCCATCCATCATCTATCTATCCATCCATCATCTATCTATCTATCTATCTATCTATCTATCATCTAGTCATCCCTCCATCCATCATCTATCCATCCATCCACCGTCTGTCTATCTATCTATCTATCTATCTATCTATCTATCTATCTATCTAATCTATCTATCATCTATTCATCCCTCCATCCATCATCTATCTATCCATCCATCCCTCTACACTCAGAGGCGTTATGATAGCCCTCCAGGTGTGGGTCACTGCACTCCCAGACTATGAGAACATGCGTCCGTGGCCCCAGGACTTGGACATTTAAGGACACCTAAAGTTAAAAATACTGTGGAGATGCACAAAGGTTGCCTGCTTTTGATCTCATCAAGTCAGAACGATCCCAGAATATTATCCTCAGCTTTCCCTTGTGGGAATGGACAAATCAAAGTATTTTACTCTTTCCATCATCAAACCAAAACTCTTTACTTATTTATTGATTTTTAAAGTGTTTGATTAAAATTTTTTTTTAAAAATATACTTTTATTGACTTTTTTTTAGAGAGAAAGGAAGGGAGAGAGAGAGGTAGAAACATCTATGTGAGAGAGAAACAGCTGCCTCCTGTACGCCCCCCACTGGGGATCCAGCTCACAACCTGGGCAAGTGCCCGACCAGGAATCGAACCAGGACCTCTCAGTCAATGGGAAGACCCTCAATCCACTGAGCCACAGTGGCCGGGCCAAGCCAAAACTTTAACAGTCTCAGCTCACTATAAAGACTAGTCATTCAAGTTGGATCATTAGCTTCACAAAAACCCAGGTTCTGTGATAGGTTAGTGAGCACGGTGCCCATGCTGGTGCTTGGGAAACGTGGTTTGTCCCCACATGAACTATTTTGGGCTGTGCTGCACATTAGTTTTCCAGGGTACATGAGAAATCCTTCTCAGGTCTGGCTGGCTGCCCTGACAAACCACGGATGCTGTCCCCAGGCCCCACGCATAGCAGGATGGCTTGCTTCGTCACCGCTGAGCTGAGAGGTTCGCTCCTGTACCCCTCTGTGCTCTCTCAGGACTCACCGACTCATTTCCTTCATGTGCTACATGTAATGAATCCTTGTGTTTATGCAGTTCGGTCTCTGCAAAGGCAGAAACTCTTACCCTTTGACGGTATTGATCATGTACATTCTCTCTCAAGCTTCTTTCCTCCATTTGCCTATTTAACCCAGTGAAGGATAGACTATGTACAGTTCGTTCCTTTATTCCTTCCCTTCCTTTTTTAATTTTCTCTTTCCTTCTGTCTTTTTCCCTCCCCAGTGAGTTAAAAGGATATTGAACACATGTACACACACGCCTGTGTACACACAGACAATCCTAGTAAACATTTTATTGAGCCTTGTTTAAATAGGTCTTAAGGAACTGCTCATCACATCCTGAGGCTTGATGTGATTCGAGGAAATTCAACTGTAAAAATTGCTTCCCCCCCCTTCGAAATGGCTCTCATTTCTATGCACTAGTTATGCCTGGTCAAAGTTTAAATATTGAATATATTACATTTTTCTCATTAGCTCTCTTATAATAACTTACCTGAGCTATTATTTGGAAGTGATCATGCTCACCTCTATGAAGGCTCCAGGAGCATGTTACCTCGCAGTGCACCAATGGACTTAGTGTTGCATGGTCCTGGAGAGGGCTTCTTGATTTCCTGTCTATTTTGAGGGAAGTCGCTGCAGCAAGAACACGAAGCCTGTATTTGCAATCAAGTGCTTGAGGAATGAAATCACCGCCGAATATTTACTTTAAAAAAAAAAAAAATCAGTCTCGTTCAGTTTATTAGTTTTTTAATGCCCAGTTAACATTAATGCAACTTTTAAATATATACTATATCATGAAGATATTTATAAAATTAATAAATGGAGCCCTTCTAGATCTTTTTTTGGTAAAATAATAATTCTCTGTGATTCATTGCAATTAATGTCATTTGGAGAAATAATTTTATTTGATTACAATGGAAAGATGTTTGGCATCTGCAAAACAACTCGCATTGCCGTTGTTTAACTAGATCTGTGAGGCTTCTGGAGTGGTACATGTTCTTTATCAATATCCTGGGATGCTTTCTCCACATGGGTTGCTTCTGGTTTTTCCTAAGAAGTAGGAATATCTTTCCTTAGCAGCACTGCAAGTGAGTGTGGATGAAAAACCTGCTTCATCCTCTGTTTTAAATTGAGCCAAAGAAAAAAACAAAAAAACTCACCCCAACCCAAATCCTGCTGTTGAGTACCCGGCTCAGCTGGGAGCGGGAGCTGGTTGACGTATCACACGAGACTGTGCAAGGGCCCGCTGACTAGTGTGATGCAGAAACAAAACGAAAACCTGCTCTGTGTCTGGCCACTGACGCCGGTTACTGGGGCGACAGATTCCTCTTCACCCGGGAGAGATGAGTGATGAGCATGTCTCCACAGTGGGTCAGATATTCGGAGGTAGTTGCTGAAAACGTCTACCTAGTTCTTGAATGTTAAAATCTCTTAGTGGAAAGATGTAGAAATTTCGTTGGTAAGGGACAAGTGCTAGCACATGGAACTCTTGGGAAATCATGGCGAGATGTTGAACGTACCAAGTGCCATGAAACCTGTCTTGGCTCCATCAGTCGTCATTGGGAAAGTCCCCAAGGGGTCAAAGGACGGAAGGAAGGCGTAATGGTATTGGCTGGAGCTTCACCTTCAAATGCCAGTGTTGAAGGTAGCTGTCCTTGACCGTATGGGAAGGAACCTTTTCCCTAATTTGAAAATACATAGATATCCTCGGGCCCAGATGATCAGGCTCCAGGCCGTGGATAGGCAGGTAGGAGTCTCCAGCCTGGCGGCGCCATTGGGCTTTCCCTTTCATGGGGTAGATCCTGGACCCCATTTCCCTGGCGATTCGTCCGAATCAGCAACTTCACGACAGCTTTCAAAATGGATTCATCCAATCCCGAGACTCTCCTGTGTCCTAGTTTACCCAAAGTTCCAGGTCAGCTGTACACATTAGGATACTGCATCCCTGACCCTCTCGTCATAAATATTTCCGGACATGAGCAGCAGCCCGGGGCCGTGTGTGACCCCGGGTGCCGTTCAGCCGAGCCCTGTTCCGAGTGGAGTGCACTATAACCGGGACCTGCCCTGCTGGTATCGGCCCGGTAAGCAGAGCAGAGCAGTGGTGACTGTCGTCTTGCCTATGAATCTAGGGGACAGCAAAAAACTAACAAACCGACAGAAGAGATGCAAAGAAAGCAGAATTTGGGTTTTGGTCCCCCCTGGCATCACTGTCGCTTACCTGCGGTCTGTGCTCTGATCGGAACATCCACTTGAGCTGGTTCAATGGCCCAGCAATGTGTCCCTCCCCCAAACCTCATAAAATACGCAGGTTTTCTAGAAAAACTCCTTTCAGCTGACAGCTCCCCAAGCCTGTGCCTCTTCGGTGCTTACTGAATAAGGGTATCCTACCGTGTTTCCCCAAAACAGTACTTTTCTCCCGCTTTTGATTCTTAGCCTGCGTGAATGTCACTGTTTCACATGTTTTTCTCTATTGAGTTTAGAGAGAGAGGAGGGAGAGGGAGAGAGAGATAGGAACATGGATGAGAGAGAACATGGATTGGCTGTCTCCTGCATGCCCCCCACTGGGGGTTTGGCCCACAACCTGGGCATGTGCCCTGACTGGGAATCAAACCGGCGACCTCTTGGTGCAGGGTCAACGTTCAACCACTGACCCACACCGGCCGGGCAACCTGGACATTGTGGTCATAGTTTAACATATGTTTTCCAGCTGACCTAGCTCCTTTCAGAGAGGAGAGAGCTGAGATGGAGAAGTGGGGGTACCTGGGAGGGCACCAGGCTGGGGGAGCGGACACCGCCGGTACAGCCCGGCTCAAGCCAGAGCTGCGCTGGTGTCCAGGTTAGCCCGCCTGGCCCGGGGGCGACTGGACCTCAGCTGCCTCACCAGGGGGCAGCGCTGACTGTGGACCCACAGTGGCTCCCCAGGGGCCCGCGGGTGGAGCTCTGGCTCGGTGGTTTGGGGGGAAGCTGGCTTCTGGAGAGAATCCCCATGTGAGCCAAGCTCAGGGCTCTGCTTCACCTGCAAGTCTTCAGGGGAGGCCTCTCCTAGAGCGGGGGGTCCTTCCCGGGGGCGTTCTAATTCCAGCCCTTCTGTGTTCCCACTGTTCACTTAGACACACACGGCGCCGGGTGCTGGGGGTAGGGAAGGAAGTGTGGTCAGAACGTCGTACTGAGCCGACAGACTGATAGCGTAAAACCTGAGGACAACTGTGTTCTCACTCGGTCCCGTCATTCTTCACAACAAACCCTCATACAGAAACAAACACGAGAAAGAGACACCAAAGCCAGGCCCCATTTTTTAATTATTATTATTAGGCAGCCTTGGCCACGGCCCTCGCTGAAACGCTTGGGAACTCGACCACGTGGCTGCCTTCCTTCTTCGCCATTAGGTCTTACTAACCTCAAATCCAAACTCAGGCATCTGGTCCTCTCGGTCGGAGCTCAGTTCGGTGGTTACTGCTCCAGGTAGGAGGTTACACCCTCAGGAACCAGAAGAACACGCTGAGCTCGGGGCGGAGTTATTTATGGGTGCAAATTCCCAGCCCTGGGAGGGAGGACCCTGAAACACGGCCAGTCCAGGAAAGCTGGAGGGTTGACTGGGACCAGGGGCTTACGTCCCCACACCACTGTCCGGCCTTCGGCTGCCACCATGTCCCCTGTCTAGGGGGGAAACTGACTCTGCTGTAAGAAAAACAACACAGTGAAGTGTTCTGTGTCTCCGCCTAATTTAGCCGAGACATTGAAACTTATTGTCTTGTTTCTCAAGAGCTTAAAATCTAGTTACTATGTTGACATCAGGACAGATGGTCAACCCCTTCTCCTGGATTCTAGAGTCACTTCCGATGTTCTTAGTTCGGTTCTTTTCCTCCACTGGAGTGCTGTCTGCGTCGACAAGTGAGCCCTGAAGGGGTCACCACACCCTGAGCAAACTGACGAAAACGGACAACAGTCGCTTGACTTAACAGGGCAGAACACCCCTGAGAGTGTTTGCTACTGGAGTCAGCCAATCAATAATCAATGCTGTCGCTGGACCCACCCTTGGGGTTCCTCTTATGACCCCAAGGCACCTGCCCTATGTCAACAAGCTCTGAAAAGATACAGGTTTGTTACTTCCAAGACCTACACATCACACAGCAGAGCGGGGGCACCCAGGTCACAGAGAGAAGGAGCCAGCGTGGGGCGGGGCTTCTGCTTTGACTGGGGTTGTGGGCGGGGCCTAGGGTTTCAGTGGCTCATTCCTTATTGATGAAGTCGAACAAAAGCGAGTGGGAAACTCAGCATAGGAAGAGAAAACAAACAGGTGACCCACATGTCAGTCATTGAAATCAACCAAGATCTCTAAACAAAGGGGCTCCATGGGGGGAGGGGCTTGTGATCTAGTTTATCTTTGAAGTGGGTGCTCCTCCGAATGTATGCCTTTGTGATCAAAGCATAAGTCAGGGTCTGCATTATGAAAAAGAAAGAACAATGTCAGGGCTTACGCTAAAGGGGGACCCGTCTTTTACTTTTAAAAAGGCGTGTGAATAGCAATTATTGTCTTATTTAAAATTATAGCTCAATGATTGTTTCAAAGTATTACTTGCTTTATTCTGCCTTTTCTTGTTAAATCCAGCATGTGGTGAATGGGACAGTTCATTATCATTCATAGTTTTTACAACAAAGTTGCTATTCCGTGTCGTCTTTCTGTTCCATATGTTACATAGGTCAGAAAACAAGACTTTCTCTTTAAGGTTCTAACCCATTTGTTGTCATTTCTTATGTGGCAAGGAGATTTAAAGTGTTCTAATTTATGCTGAAATTGTAATCCTTTAAACAAGTAAAATCGCCCTGGCCAGTTTGGCTCAGTGGTTGAGCGTCGGCCTGCGGACCAGAGAGTCCCAGGTTCGGTTCCCGCTAAGGGCACGTACTGCAAAAAAATAAAGTAAAATAAAACAAGCAAAATCCTACCCAACTGCTCTGGCCAAGCCCTTGAACATGTGCTTCAAGCAGAAGCATTTGCATAGTTTCACTGCGAAGTTGTTTCAAGTGTGGATCCGTCACCAGCATCTCAAAGCTGCTGCTTCTTCATTCTTCGGGGCCTTGTCTCCTATGAGTTCATCATCTGCTTTTCATAATTTTTCTGTTTTAATCTCCTTTCCCAAACGGGCTGCATGGTCTGCAAGGGCCTCCGTTTGGCACCCGTAATGTGAGTTGTTCATACACATTGCAGTGGACCTGAGATGAATTCAGACGAATTTCCAGTTCTGTTGACTCCAGGTCTTCCTTCTCTGTTCCACGTGGCCAGCGGGCCCGGTCATTCTGGCCGAGGATGACAGTCCACCCCAGTGAGCTGGCTGAAGCCCGCTATGGAGGAGGCCACGGGCATCACACACTGCTCATTTAGGGAAAAAAGTGTCCGGCCATGATCACAGCAGACTTTGACTTTTTGTGGTGTTTGCTCAGCACCAAGCGCTTGACGTATTGTGTGCTCATATTTAATCCTGGACGGCAACGCTGCGGGGCGGGTATAACCCACCTTTGTCCTCAATACCAGGAACACCGAAGCTGTAATTCTAATTCAGATATTCTGTGGACCCAAATCTTGTCACTGTCACATGGTGCTGTCTCTTTCACGCGTGACCTGACCTTTGCAATGACACCTATTTGCCACATGTCCCTTAATGTGCCTCAGCCTCAAGGTGACCATTGGCAGATGGGACACCAGTGGCCTCTCACAAGGAATATCTCCCGGCTGGGACGATGTCGGCCGAGCTGGCCGCCCACCTCTCTTCCCCCAGGGACACCCCGGTGGTACCCACTGGGTTTTCACCAACGATTAGTGGGGTGAATATGAACTCGGACTGGCAAGTCACATCTTCGGTTACTATAGAACTGTAGACACTCACTTCCACCAAAACGTGCTCCCTTGGTTATGAGAAGTGGAGAAGTGTGGACCTCTCGATCGCTCTGTCGTTGGTCCTGTGGTCCCTGGAGCATTGGTGGGGGACAGGCCTTCCCCCTAGTTGCCTCTCTCTGTTATCCGCGTGCCTCGTGCAGCACTGTGCTGGGCAGCGGTCCTGTGAATGACGGGGGACAGTGGGGTTGCATGCAGGCCCCCTGTGAACAGTGAGGAGGAAAGGGTACTTCCCACTCGTCATGGTCCAGGGATCACCTAGGGACAGAAGCCATGAAGAAACCCTGCTCTCAAACTCCGTTTTCACCCCTTCTCTGGTCAGAGCGTTTTTCCAGCGATTGCCAGTGATCTTCCCTCCCTTCTGTTTACGGTCCATATATCCGGCCTGATGATCTCTGGGGGGTAGAGAGCCCAGAGAACGTGGGAAAGGTATTTAACCTAGAAACTTTGTTTTAGAAATTGATATTGATCTTTCTATCCCCTACCCTCATCCCTCCAAAAATAAAATCTAAAAATAGGATAACAAGCAGAGACCAAAAAATACCTATAAAATTTGTCAACACAGTATTAAAAATGTAGACATAATTTCCCCATGCCTCTTCTGTTGGCAACCAAACAATAGTGAAAAGGGAAAAGCAAAATAAAAGACAAAAAAACCTGCTAAAATTAGTAAAAGAAAAAGAAAAAAAGGAAAAAAAAAACACAACCAAAGTCATCTTAGCCGGTCAGTTTACATAGCCTTCGACGTCAGTCAGAAGGAACTAGTTTCACCATGAAGGCTATTGGTTGGCTTTTTATTACGTTATGTTTTAAGTTATTGGCCAAGTTATTCAATCCTTAACACTTGATTGTTTACTAATTCAGTGCTCATTTTTGTGTTACCAATGGCATCTGCTTTAAACTTTCTTATTATAATGGCTATTAATATATATTTTTTATAAAATCAAATGAAAGTGTGTTTTTGTTTTAATCTCTTTTTCTTTCCTACTCTGTTGTCTTTCTCTTTATTTTCCTTTTCCATGATCTTACCTTCTCTAACTCTTTGATGGCTTTTCATAAATCTGTGTCAGCTAAAGAATGTATATCCTGAAAATGTTGTCTTCCTAATCATATGCCATCTAAAGATGAAATTTTTGGGGCATAAATGTTCCAAAGTAACTTAATAGGTGGGAAAAAATAGGATTGAAACACAAAGTTTCTTTCTTATTCAAACCCGTAAGAGTTATCACAGGGCTTGTGATTGTTAGTAAGCTCCATGATAGACCTTTCTTCCCTGTCGATGGCACAATTATATTGAGCTTTCTAAATACTACTTTTACTCTTACTACTATACACCCTAACTATTATAAACTAGTTTCATTTTGTATAGAACTAAAACTACGTAAAGAAAGTCATATTAATGAGACAACGGAAGAACATGACTTCAACTTGAATACATCTTCCCTCCTCAAACTCTTTCTGTGATATACATTTCTCTTCATTTTTCTTAGTCCCCGAACTTCATGGCAAAAACAAACCACTAATCACCTATGTGGGGGATTCAACTGTCTTGATATGTAAATGCAAAGATTGTTTTCCTTTAAATTGGACCTGGTACCGTGAGAATGGGAGTGTACAGGTAAGACCCTATTTCTTTAATTTGAAGAAAACAAAATAAAACCTTTTGTTCCACAAATAATGATTGTAACAGACTCAGACTTGCTAGGACTGCCTATATGTGTGTGATCTTTTTCTCTAGTATGTCCTCATAAAGAACAGAGATAAATGGAATTGGCATCGGATGTTTTTAGCTTATGACATTACGCATCAGAAGATACTGTTCATGTTTCATTAGCTGGTACTTTGTTTTCTTAGACTTAGCAATGTATTTAAGTTCTTTGAAAGGAAGTTATAATTCATTTTTAGTTAACTTTAGAAATCACCCCAACAAAAAAGAATTTTTTTTCCTTATCATTTCATGAAAGTAACCAGAAAAAAAAAGCCTTCTTCTTTCCCTGCTGTTTCTGCAAACACCTGTGACAGAAGGCTGCACAATGACACCGTTTCAGAAAAGGCGGGCACCTTGGTAATTTCGCCTTTCGTCTTAGGTTCTTTCAGTAACTCGTACTGGCCTCTTTCGGCCTTTTGGAAACGTAAGAGAAGCCAACTCCGCAACCTTCCTAATAAGGCCTTCGTGGATATTCAAAGATTTGCTGTTAAGAAAAGCATGTGTATTGAAGAAATGATTTGTGGCTCTCTTGCTTTCTCCAAGTAGCCGTAACAGCACGGGGATTTAGAAAACTTGTCCTGCGGGGGCACCCATCTATTGCCCTGCTGCTAACAAACATTGAAATTCGACTCTGTAAACGCAGTCCTGGAAGGAATACTGTGACACAGAGTAGATCTTAAAGTGACATATCAGGTCCCTTCTTAGATGCAGTCGATGCCATCATAGACCGTCGCAGGAGGGTAGAGAAAGGACTGAAAGGGAGAGGGACTGGTTCTGCAATAGCATCGCTTTGATTGTTCAAAGAAATAACTCCAGAGCACGTAGGAGTAGATGTAAACCAGTAACACGTTTGCGTATCTTCGTATTGGTGATCAGGAAAGAACATTTGTGTACGTAAATATTTCACGTAAATATGTAAAAATTGTCTATGGTGATATTGGAAACACACAGTCTAATTTGTTTATGCAGGTGTGTTACTGACAAAAATACCCTAAATCTAATTGTAGTGAACATTTGGAATGTAGTTGGTGCTTCTCCATTTGTTCTATTAATTTTCTCTTCATTTGGCCCCAAGCAGGGGTCCTATCAGGATGTGAGAAGAATGCAGGGAGGAGGGTGGTTGAAACTTTAGGGCAAATGTTTTTGCAAAATGTAGACGGACCGTCTGCATCAGACCCACCTGGGATGCTGTTACTCAGGCAGCAGTGTGGTTTATCAGCTCCGAGTTCGAGAGACTCATTTGTAAAAAGCATGTCAGGCAGGGCACAGGGAGCCAGGTCACTATACTTTGGGGGCAGATAATAAACTCACAGTCAGTTCTTCCTCAGATCACCTCCCAGAGTACTGCATGCAGATTAACCTCTACTGAGCAGTGCAGGTGAGTGACAGGCAGTGAAGATGTCACATGGCTTGAGAATAAAATTGGATTTAAATGGATTAAATAAATAAGCCCCCCAATACCTTAGTATGGCTCTTGAGTGGCTGGGAAAACCCAGTGAATCTCAGAAGCCAGCTTGCCTGAGAGAAATCCAGGTGTGAAAAGTCAGAGAATGGGCAGGGCATCACCTATACCAGACTCACTGGGGATTTTCACCAACCCTTCCTTCCACGTAGTTTTTTGTGGCCTGAAGATTTCATCTTCAGTTTTCAGTTCCAGCCAGAGGAACTCCCCAAACCAGGAGCCAGTGATCTGCCTTTCTGGTGGGGGTGGGGACGTCCGGGCCCTCGGAGTCAGTCCCAGCGAACATCACAGCCCCACCAAGAGAAGCAGTTCTAACTACCACCTTAGCGGCGAGTTAATTAAATGTTTGACCAAATAGAGCGGGCTAATTTTAAGTTGATAATTTTGTATGGCCTGAAAATGATGTTATAAATATCCAAATGGCCCTTGGCAGAAAAAGGGTTCCCCACCCCTGCTATAGGAATGATCAGATTTAATAGCTTCATTAATTTAATAGTTGATTTAATGTATGACTAGACTTGTGAAGGGGAAAGTTCTTTGAACAGCTAGTCAGGAATTAGAAGGAAACCCACATTTAAAAAAAATATATTTTAACCCCTGGCTGGTTTGGCTCAGCGGTTAGAGCGTCAGCCTGTGGTCCAGAGAGACCCGGGTTTGGTTCCTGCTAAGGGCATGTACCTCGGTTGCAGTTTATCCCCGGCCCTGGTTGGTCATGCGAGTGGCAGCCACTCCATGTGTCCTTTTCACATCGATGTTTTTTTTCTCTCTCTCTCTCTTCCTCTCTCTCCCTCCCACTCTATCTGAACAAAAAATGGAAAAAAATGTCCTCAGGTGAGGATTAAAAAAAATACATACACACACACACACACACACACACATATATACACACACATACATATGTATTTTTTAATTGATTTTTTAGCGAGAGAGGAAGGGAGAGATAGCTAGAAACATCAACAGGAGAGAGAAACATCCATTGACTGCCTCCTGCACGCCCCCTACTGGGGATCTAGCCCACAACCTGGGCATGTGCCCCAACCCTAAGGAATCGAACCAGGTCCTCTCAGTCCACAGGACGACACTCAGTCCACTGAGCCACACCGGCAGGCAAAGCCCACATGTTTTTTAATTCCCATGTAATATTACCCATGCTGACCTGCATGCCGCCGTTCCAGACACTCAGTTCCAAGTATTTGAGGCAAAGCGCACTTCTCCTCTGCTGGCTGCCTCTCAGAGGGCAAACTCGGGTAAGACTCGAGCTCTGGGACGTAGACCGTCTCGCCGGTTTTAATATGCCTGTGTCTGGTGACTGCTCCTCTTGGCGCTATTGTACAGCTTTTGCTCAAAGCTGGATAATTGAGGACATGGGTCTTTTATGCAGTATGATAGGACTGGATTTTAATGTCTCCTTTCTTAGGTCCCTCTCGATGTTCACGTGAATGATAAGTATGCGGTCAGTGCGACCAATGCCAATGGGACAAAGCTGACGATGACGCACCTCTCGGAGGAAGATCAAGGTGCTTACTGGTGCCGTGCGGTGTTCCCACTGGGCGAGAGCCGCGGCCGCGTGGAACTGGTGGTGCTCAGCTTCCTGGTGCCCCTCAAACCATTCCTTGGGATAGCTGCTGAGGTGGTTGTTTTAGTGGCTATTATTCTGCTTTGTGAAATGTACACCAAAAAGAAAAAGAACCGCCCAGGTAGGATTTATTTTTTTAAGTAACATTCTCATGTCATGACTTACTACATTACAAGAGTTTTTGAAGGGGGGGGATCCAATTTTTGTTTTTGGAGTGATATTTCTGTGGATGTCAATGGGGACAGCGAGCTATCAGGTAGTACTGATGGTCTTCCTGTTTCAACTACTCAAATACTTTAGTGCTAAAATATATCTTTTCCCCTCTTTCTTTTGGTGTTACTGGCGCCTACATACTAATTAGGTGATAGGTGCTTTGGTCCTGGAATATTGGGAAATTTTGTGGTAGCTTAATATAAACAATTTTATTTTATTTTTTTAATAGATATGTTTGTTTTAGTTGATTTTTTAGAGCGAGGAAGGGAGAGAAAGATGTAAACATCAATGTGAGAGAGCTACATTGATTGGTTGCCTCCTGCACGCCCCCTACTGGGGTGAGCCTGCAACCCCGGGCATGTGCCCTGACGGGAATCGAACCGGGACCTCTCAGTGCATGGGACGACGCTCAGTCCACTGAGCCACACCAGCCGGGCAATATAAACAACTTTAAAGACAATTACTTTTCCACTTAGATACTCCATTTAACATTTTTCTATCAAACATTCTAGAGCTCTCATAAAAAACCCTGTCCTGTCAGTGTCCTATGTTTGTAGCTGTTACCTGATGGATGATGAGTTGAAAAACCAATGGTCCTCCCTAAGAAAATGTACCTGAAATTCTATATTCCTTCCTGATTTTGCACTACATTTTTAATCACTTAAAAACTTTTGTAATTAATCTAGCAGTCAACCCTAATTTTGAAAATTCACGGCACTAGACTCCGCTTGGTGGGAATTTCAGGTGAGGTGTGGACAGGAGCAAAGAGGGCCGAGGTCGCAGGTGTCTCTTTCATTCCAAAGAGGGGACGCAGCACAGGGCATTCCTAGGTCAGGGGGAAGCTGAATTGAACACAGATGCTCCGTCAGAATAATACACCAGCCTTAACATTGATCTTCTTCTTTTGTTACACAGATGATGGGAAAGAATTTGAACAAATTGAACAGCTGTAAGTAGTATCTTTGATACATTCGACTTGAGTGAAACACAGATGAATAGGAAATGGAATGATGTGTTTTCAATTAGGGGAAGAAAACCGCAAGGGTAGCTTGTGTGTGATACTCGTGTACGGATCCGTGTCCGGTGCCTGCACACACTGGACCCCCCGCCCTGCATTCTGCTCTTACTTCTCTGGGCTTCTCCCTGAAAAGCGGGTTTCCTGGTAGGACTTACAACACACGGCTGTTGCAGTAAATGATATCGTCTCTGCAGAAACGTCTAGCACGGGTTTGGATGCACAGAAGGTGTTCAGTAGCCATAGGGAAGTCTGTCGGTGGGAGGCACCGACTCTCACGCCTGGCTATATTTCTTATCAGTTAGGGTGCTTCTTCGAAATGCAGTTCCTCAGACCTTCCTGGATGTCTGGGTCCGAGCGTCTGGGACTGGTGCCTGGGCCTCTGCATGTCTGTAAAATGTCACTCACTGCTCTGACTCCCTGTCAGGTGGGAAATGACAAGCCTAGAATTCTATCAGCCACTGTTTTTGAAAGCACACAAACTGTGTGCTAGCTTTTTTTAAATTCAAATATAAGTTTTATTCACCACCTCCAATGTGAGGGGCATTCTTCTGTTAGCTGAGGATACATGTCAAATTAAACAGATATGGTTGCAGCCCCAGCACAGCTGAAATTCCTTTTACATCAACTAGACTGGGAAGGAGGGGGTGGGAGAGAGAGAGGGAGAGAGGGAGAGAGGGAGAGGGAGAGAGAGAGAGAGAGAGAGAGAGAGAGAGAGAGAGAATCATTGATGCGAGAGAAACATATCGATTGGCTGCCTCCTGCTTGTCCTCAACCAGGGCTGGGGACCAAACTGCAACCAAGATACATGCTCTTGACTAGAATCAAGCCTGTGACTCTTTGGTCCGCAGGCTGATGCTCTAACCGCTGAGCCAAACTGGCTAGGGCCCGAGGTATTTTTTTTTTTTATATCAGCTATGCCATTTTTCATTCCCACTTGTCTTTTGTTCATAGCTTCTACCTCTTTTTTCAGGCCTATGTGGTTCTCACTGAGCTCTTTATCATTCTTGCTGAGTGGCTTAGAATTCTCACTAAGGTGTTTGAGCAGCCTTATAACCCTTACTTTGAACTCTTCATCTGGTAATTCACTTGTCTCTATTTCATTTAGTTCCTTTTCTGGTGATTCCTCTCTTTCTTTCATTTGGGGGTTGTTTCTCTGCCTCCCCATTGTATTGGTCTGGTGTCCCAGGGCCCGGTGAGGCAGGCTGGGTCCTGGGAGCAGGTGTCCAGGGGCGTGAGGGCTGGGATCCTGTCCAGTGGTCTGGGGGTTCCGAGGTTCTCAGCCCCTCAGGGGGACTGAGCGGTCTTTGCTGCCCTGAAGCCAGTAGGTCGGGGGCTGTGCTGACGGCAGCCCCGGGGGAGTGTGAGCCCCTCAGCTGCTGTGGCCCATGGTGATGGCGCTCGCTGCCCGGGCAGAGGCGGTGGGGCTTGTAGTGTCCCTGTGAGGCCTGGGACACTGGGTCTCTGCAGTTCCTTGCCGCGCGCTCTCTGATCCCCAGGGGGAGAAGCACCGCGCGGGGGCGCTCCTGCGGGCAGCTCCCTCGGGCCCCCCACTGGCCGCTGCCCCCCACACTTACACCCGCGCACCCTCTCTCTCACACGCTCACCCACTCGCCCTCTCCCCGTCGCTCCAGTCCTGCCGGCCACCGCATTCTGTGTGCGAGCCTGGTACAGCCCCTGGGCGCAGAGGTGACCACGGGGAGGGCTGGGAGGGAGATTCCAGGGGTGTGATTTGTGTGCTGAAGCTGGGAGGTGCCAGTTCCTCCGAACCGGAGAGCTGAGCGTGGAGTCCAGCGACAGAGGGGCCAAGACGGGGGTTGATATCTAGCAACACTTATTTTCTAACTGGAAGCCAGTACCTCTTATTCCCCTTCATTTCTTTCATCTACCCCCGCCCCCTGCAACCATCTGTTCTTCTCTGTCTCTATCAGTCTGTTTCTGTTTTATTTGTTCATTTATTATTATTAGTTTTAGATTCCAACTATAAGTGAAATCCTATGGTATTTGTCTTTCTCTGTCTGATTTATTTCACGTAAGACGATACCTCTAGGTCCATCAATAAGCCACGGGGTGGAAAACAGCCCAGGGAACGCAGTCAGCAGTATGCGATCACTTCGCTTGGGACTAGATGGCTCCTGGGCCTGTTGTGATCACTGTGTACGGTTACACGTGTCGGATCACTACGCTGTGTGCCTGAGGTTCACATAATATTGCTGTCAACGACATTTCAAAAAATCTCAGCAACAAATGCAAGGACAGGACCCGGAAGACGAGACCCAATGGAAGCAGGAAAGGGAAGCCCTCGATACTGGAGGCTGGGCCCCTGTTGCCATCAAAACGCCACCTGTGAAGCGTCTGTTTGTCAGCCGGCAGGCGCTGTGCGTGTGAGCGCTGTCGCCGGGCTCCAAGGGGACAGGGCTGCATAGCGGTCATTCCGACATGTGTAGACAGTGTTCAAACAGTTACTTTTACTGCGTTCACAGGTGGCAGGTAGGATCAATCAGCGTGATACGAGCTCCTAAATTAGGGGCATGCAGTAGTTACGTCGGGAGTCCTACAACCCCAGATGGGAATAAAACAGTGTCGTCTTAGTCACAGACTCTCATGGCTGGAAGAGAATTCATTGTTCCTCTTTCCGGGCAACTTGGACATCTTATTTCTATGAATTTGAACTTTGCATCTTTCTGGTTCCCATGCACGGGGTCTGTTTCTTACACTTGAAGTAAAATCCATGGCAGTCATTCAGGTGTTTGAAGCAGTCACCACCCTGCAGGTCCCTCTGCTCTCCCGGCTCAGCCTCCCTGTCCCCCACCCCCACCCCCCCGGCCCGGGCAGTCACAGCGGAGGCTGCTCCTGTCTCAGGTGTCCTGGCTTGTGTAAGACACTGAAGGATGATGCAGAGCACCTGGGAGCAGGCTCTCGACTCTTTTTTTTTTTTTTTTATCCTCACCCGAGGATATTTTTCCATTTTTTGTACAGATAGAGTGGGAGGGAGAGAGAGGAAGGGAGAGAGAGAGAGAAACATCGACGTGAAGGGACACATCGAGTGGCTGCCACCCGCACGACCAACCAGGGCCGGGGACAAACTGCAACCGAAGTACGTGCCCTTAGCGGGAACCGAACCCGGGTCTCTCCGGACCGCAGGCCAACGCTCTAACCGCTGAGCCAAACTGGCCAGGGCGGCTCTCGACTCTTAATGATGCAGCTTCCACGTATGTAGCCTCCCTATTTAAAAACACTGCAAAACGATTTTTTTTCTGGAATGTCTTAAAAATGTCAAATTGATCCGATTTCTAGTATAACGCATGCGCTCTTTGCCCTTTGGAAAACGGGAGCGTGCACATCGTTGTCTTCGTCCTGTGCTGCTCCACAGAGACCCCCAGGGTGGTCCGTCCCCCCGTCTCCCGGGGGGCGCAGGGTCTCCAGGTTCCACACAAGTACCAAGGGCACTCAAAGTGGTTCCCACCAAACGTTACCAAAGCCCTTTCAGAAGTTAGAGTTGGGAGATACATTTTTCTTGACAGAGAATAAATATTAGCTATCAATATGTTTTTATATAATGGTTATATATATGCATGTTTAGTTAGTTACCAGGGATTCATACTTTGCTGGTGACAATAATTTATGTGTGTGTGTGTATCTATATATCTATATCTATATATACATATATATATACACACATTTATATCTATATCTATATCTATCTGTCTATCTATCTATATTTTAAATCCTTACCCGAGGACATTTTTGCATTTATCTTCAAATAGAGCAGGAGGAAGAGAGTGGGGAAGAGAGAGAGAGAAACATCAACGTGAAAGGGACACATCGAGTGGCTGCCACCCGCATAACCCAACTGAGGCCGGGGACAAACTGCAACCGAGGTACATGCCCTTAGTGGGAACCAAACCTGGGACTTTCTGGTCTGCGGGCCAACACTCTAACCACTGAGCCACACCAGCCAGGGCTGTAATGATTTTTTAAAACAGTACTAACCAAACATGTAAGATCAAAACAGGCTAGTTTTAGTGTACATTCAAATAGTTCAAGGAGGAGCTCCCTCATGATCTAATCCACTCAGATATTTAATCCACACAATCTCACCTAACTGTCCCCCCACCCCCAAATTTTGACATAATTGATTTGGTGGTGGAATGTATTCTCTGGTGTTAACAGTTTAATGAGCTCAAAGCTGCCCCTAACCTAGAAGGGCATCCATTATGCAGCCTTGCGACCTAGTTTAGTCATTCTCGTTCTGAAGGACACTGGGAGACAAAACCCATGCTTAGCTTCTAGCTCGGTGTAATACACGTGAAACTGCAGCACCTGTATCTCACACAGTGACTGCGCTCCCGATTGGCTATTGTTGCAGGTGTCGAAACAACACATGTGTTATAGCCATGTCCCCAAGGACCCCCACACACACTTAGGGAGAAGCATTTCTCCCTCTGAATGAAAAAAAAAACGAACAGGCATTTGCCATTGTCATCTGCAGCAACAAAATCAATGGCATAAAGGAAATCAACATTAGGAGTGAAACGTTATGAGGAAGAGTAAATTCTCTCTGTCTATCTTTCACATTCACCTGATGATTTTGATGGTTGCTGACTGAATTTTATGCAATGTAAACATCTAGTGATTTTCTGTTTTCTTTTCAATATAGGAAATCAGAAGATAGCAATGGTATAGAAAATAATGCCCCCAGGTACAGAAAACATGTAAGTTACTTCTAAATGGTATTCCAAATAAAAGGTAAAATCCAATATACACAGGCCGTCTATTAATCCAGCTGCCCCCCCCCCCCCAGTTTCATTAAAGACCTAGTCAATCACTATGTGCTTGGATATGCTTGTTTATAATATCACAGAAGGAAATACACAGTTATATAAAAATAAACAAATATTTTCCCCTACCAGGGAACCAATCCAAAAGTAAATCTGTTGCATTGCCTATGTATATATTTGTTCTTTGGTTACCATGGGCTAGTTCCTTCCTCCCTTCCTTCCTTCCTTCCTTCCTTCCTTCCTTCCTTCCTTCCTTCCTTCCTCCCTTCCTTCCTTCCTCCCTTCCTTCCTTCCTCCCCTAGCGGGAACCGAACCCAGCTCTCTCTGGTCTGCAGGCCGATGCTCCAACTGCTGAGCCAAACCGGCCAGGGCAGGGCTAGTTTCTTATACAGCTTCTCATGCAGTCTTACTTGTTTCCTGTCTCAATTTTTCTGGGTTCCCCTATTTTATTCCCACATATTCCCATATATATATATATATTTTTTTGGTTCATATTCACTTATTTTCTTTACTGATTAGAATAAAAATGTTCATATATCATCGACATTTTCCCCGAGTAGTTAGAATAGGAACTGTGGGTTTTAGCAGTAGTTTGGATCACCCCTCCCCAGCAATGTCTGATTGCTAAAGTGATGGTAAGCTATTACGGAACGACCAAGACATACTAATTGAGTTTCACTATGTTTTATTTAACTCAGGAATCTGTGGGCCAGTGAATGAGAAGCGTCAGGCCAAGAGTCGTGGGGAGATGTACAAAGAGTTTGCATTTCTGCTCTGTGTATGCTTCCTGTTAAGAAGAGCTGAGTTTATTTTTAAAAGAATAAAAAGTTTCAGCGGGATGTTCAACAGTAGCTTCGTAAATAATAGATGCTATCTCAGATCTAAAGCTATTTTCATTCTGCAATGATTTTACATACAGTCAAGGTAAACTGTATTAAATATGTTCTATGAGCTACAACCCAGGGTAAGGAATTTCCTCCTGGCCCTCCAGGGACATACAGAACAGATACCAGAAACACCATTTCCTAGTTCACAGACCTAATGCCACTCAAGACCTGTTCAAAACCAAAGAATTCGTTAAACAGGAAGTGCTTACTATGTATGGAACTATTTGTAATAATATTCATGTAAAGTTTATTCTTCTGCCATATCGGGGAAAAAAAAGTATGTCTTTACTAGGAAATGAATACTTTCTGCCTTTGCTGTTGAGGGCTACTCACTACAATCACCCCAAGAAAACATAGTTTTCCTCCAAAAACAGTGGTTTAAGGCAAGGAAGTAAACCATACACTTGCCGCAAAGCGCCATCACCACAGAAGCACATTTCTGATCTCTATTCCATGCATCTCCATTGGTCCCCACTCCAGGCTGCAGAGCTTCCTAATCTTTCTGTAGAGCATTTTCTTTTCGTAAAGCTCTGGGTTTGGGGTTTCACAAGTCCCACCGAGTACTGCTGCAGGTCTATACAGTCACAATACAACACTGCTTTGAGGATGCTTCTGTGCTGCGCTGTCTCCTGGTATCTCTGACTTCACACCTGGTTTCCCGGGGTCCAGAGGGCTGCACACCTAAAAATACAACACCGATTCTTTTGCCTGAGACCCAGAAGTACTGTGGCACTTCGATGATGTTGCAAATACCTCAGACTTTTCTGCAAAAAATAGACTACTCAGTTTCTGTTGCACAATACCCGAAATATTATAGAATCACGCTAACCAGACTAAGTGACATCTCAGTAGACATGAACATCTGTTAATGACTCTGAACAGGATGTAATCATACCGCAGAACACTGGACGGGACGAAGACAATGATATGAGCTTCCTGGGAGGTGGTGGGTCCAACGCCCCTGCTCACAGCGCATCAGAACCATCAGCACAATCGGAGGCCGAGAGGGAAGTTCGGGCTGATGGCAAGGAACCCACAGTTCTTCATGACTAGGGGATTCGAATTTGGAGAAGAGGAGTTCAGTGCGTTAAAAAAAACTTTATAGAAATGTATACTATGTGCTGGCTGAGAAAATATAATAAAATTCTGGCAGTGAAATCTAGAATTTAGATGGCAACCTGACTAATGTTAAAAACACCACTCGTATGAATAACACAAAGAGTAGTCCCTGGGAAGCTGCTCGTCATTTTGTTGTAGTAGCATTTTGCGTGAAGCATGTCAACTCTACGCACTAGTTTTGTTGAACTAGAACACTTCCCTTAAGTAACGCCAGATTTCTTTTTATTCCTGAGCCGTAAGTAATGCATTTGTTTTGGGTTCACTCATTATTAAGTTGATTACATTATCCTGGGTGATATCTATACGATGACAGAAAACCAATCAGTTCACTTAATTAATCGAAGCAGTTTGAATTCAGTGAGAAACCAGAGCTGGTATTTGACTGAGTCCAATTCAAGACAGTATGTCCACGCCTGGCTACATACAAACACTAACAATTTGTAGCTCCGACAGAGTACGTATCCTAACATTTTGCTACTTCTACTTAGGCTAAAATACTTTTCAAGGAAGAAAAACGGCCCCCGCAAGGTAAAGTGATCTGACATATCGATATCGTAAATTGAATTTTTAAGTGGCCGTCTTGCTATTTTCCCTGGTAACGGCAATTTATTCCAGTAACTGTAAGCAGGAAAAGTACTCAGAAAATTAAAATGAATGAATTCTGGCTTTTCAGAGTCTCTCTGGGGCACTTCTGGAAAGTTACTTCACTAATGTTAGATTAAAAATGAAGCACTCCCATGGACTAACCCTGTGGAGATGATAAATGGATCAACTCCTAATGACCAAGTGTAAACCGACTGAAGAAACCGAGTGAGCAGGAAAGCTGAACTAGGAAAACCACTGCGCACTCATATGTTAGATGCGGATTCTATTACTCCCTCCGGCTAACGGGTTTGCAGCACATGGCGTAGATTTAATGTCTGAAAACGCCCAGATTCTTCACATGAGCTGGTGCTCGCGTGTAAGTCTTCCCCCTTCGTAGTCTTCCCCTTTCCCTCAGTATCCAGTTACCCAGGGCCAAACCTAGAGCTCACTGCGCTATGTTCTTCTGCTCCGTTAACACCTGTGAGTCACACTGTCTCTTCCTCTGGCCTCAAGCTCAGGGTCCCCTGGCCTCCCGCCTCCTCTACCCAGCTCAGCAGATAAGGTCCTCATTTCCCCGCCTTGGTCTCAGCTTCTAGTCACCCATTCCTCGCACTGCTGCCCAAATCATCTTTCTAAAACACAGTTTCCACCCGGCAGCTGTGCTCAGTGGTTGAGCGTCAACCCTGCACCAAGAGGGATCCCCAGTGGGGGGCATGCAGGCGGCGGCCAACTGATGTTCTCTCTCATCGATGTTTCTCCCTCTCTCTCCCTCTCCCTTCTGCTCTCTCTAAAATCAATAAAGAAAAACATAAAACACAAGTCTCACTCTGTGGCAGCTTCCATGTCAAGCTTCTGCAGGCTCACCTTTGCGATTGCTTATTATTGCCATTTTTTCCAATTCCTGGTCTCTCTTCAATGTCCTGATTTAGCTTGGACATGCAAAGATTTGGTTCAGAGCTCTTGAGGAAGGTGGGGTAGGTAAATGTGATGCTCGAATCCTCCCACAACCACATCAAAATTACAACTGAACTCCAGCTTGAAATCTAGCGGAAAGGAAGTCATACAGCTAAGGATATGAGGAAGAAGCCACGCGGAGACTGGTCGGAGGGGCGGAGACTGGTCGGAGGGGCGGAGACGTGGGTGGGGGTTGTCCCATGCCCACATGGGGTAGAGAAAAATCGGGAGGTTCCTCCTGAGGAGCAAGGGGTCCCAGCCCAGAGTTCCCATGCCAGTAAGATGGGTCCCCATAATTTCTGGCTATAAGAACCAGCAGGGATAGTGCTCAGTGAGATGGAGTCTTCTAGAGTCCCAGGCAGTTCATCTTAAAGGGCCTGAGCCTGGACTTACTCTGACTCGCTCCCTCCGAGCTCCAGCATTAGGATAGCAGCTCAGACGTCACCAGGGCCACATGGGGAAGAGTGCTGGCAGAGGTCATTGTCCCTTTCCTGAGACACCCCCCCAGCAGAGCCGGCAGGTGGGTGCCATATCTGCGTCTCCCTCAACCTGGTTCACATTGTTTGCCCCACCGTGGTGATTCCCTGAGACTTGCAGGCCTATCCAAACTCTTCCCAGTGGCTTTTCCATACAAATGGCCTCTCTTGCCTTATGTTTTGGACTTTCCTGAAATCTCTCAAACAAGCAGCACCTGCATCTGCATACCCCATACCTCTTGCTCTGTAGCCCCAGGCCTGGCACTAGGGCAGCCAGCCTTAGTGCACAGCTTGGCTCTCCTGGGCACCTCCAAGCCCAGCACGAGCAGCGGCCCTCTGCAGACCACTGTGTAGCTTGTGCCAGGTGGCATCGCAAGCATTGGCTGGCCTTGCGCCTCCCAGGAAGCCTCAGAGCCAGTGCACCCTGTGGAAGGCTTCAGACCATGCCAGATTACAACCCTACCACCCCCGTGAGTGACACACATAAGGGACAGATTCAGGGAGCACTAAAGCCCCGCTGAAGCAAACTGTAGGGTTGACTCCTGCACAGCAGCTCCTCCGCTGTAGTCGCAGTCAGTCCCCGCAGCCCATTGGCTTGGGGGTCCATCCCTCCCAATGCCACCAGCAGCAATCAAGGCTCCACTACGACAGGAGGGTGCCCACAGCCCACACAGAGGTGCACCTGGAGCACTCAGCTCAGCTGACTGGGAGGCTGTGTCATTGAGCCCGATAGGACACCTATTATACAAGGCCACTCTACCAAGGCCAGGATACATAGCAGCTCTACCTAATATATAGAAACAAACACAGGGGAGCGATAAAAATGTGGAGACAATGAAACAGGTCCCAAATAAAAGAATAGGAGAAATCTCCAGAAAAAGGACTCAATGAAATGCAATTAAGCAAACTACCAGGTACAGCGTTCAAAACAATGGTTATAAGCATGCTCAAGGAACTTAGTGAGAACTTCAACATCACGAAAAAAGACATAGAAACCATAAACCATAAAAAAGAACCAGTCAGAAATAAAAGATACATTGAAATAAATACAATACAGGGAATTAACAGTAGAGTAGATGTAGCAGGGAATCAGATTAGCGATTTGGAATATAAGAAAGCAGAAAAACACCCAATTGTAACAGCAAAAAGAATTTTAAAAACGAAGATAGTGTAAGGAGCCTCTGGGACAACTTCAAGCATACCAACATTTGCATTATGGGGGTCCTGGAGGAGCAAAAAGAGAGAGCAAGGAATTGAAAATCTATTTGAAAAAAAAAATTATTGAAAACTTCCCTAACCTTGTGAAGGAAATAGACATACAAATCCAGGAAGCACAGAGAGTTCCAAACAAGCTGAACCAGAAAAAGCTCAAACCAAGACACATCATAATGAAAATGCAAAAGGTTAAAGACAAAAAGAAAATTCTAAAAGCAGCAAGAGAATAGCAGTTGGTTACTACAAGGGAGCTCCCATAAGACTGCCCGCTGATTTCGCAACAGAAATTTTGCAGGTCAAAGGGCTTGGCAAAAAATATTCAAAGTGATGGAAAGGACCTGCAACCAAGATTATTCTATCCTGCAAAGCTATCATTTAGAATTGAAGGGCAGATAAAGAGCTTCCCAGACAAGAAATGTTAAAGCGTCTTCTTTAAGAAGAAGACAATAAAAAGATAAAAAATATGAACAATAAAATAGCAATAAATATATATCTATCAACAACTAAATCTA